TAAATCAAGGGCTTGAGGTTGGCCAGGCCACTGTGTGTACATGAAGGCTTTCCCCAGGTAGAAACGCTGTGTGTACATGAAGGCTTTCCCCAGGCAGGAACGCTGTGTGCACATGAAGGCTTTCCCCAGGCAAGAAGGCTGTGTGTACATGAAGGCTTTCCCCAGGCAGGAACACTGTGTGGTCCTGCTCCCTTCACTCATGACTGGCAGAGTCAGAAACCCATGGAATTGTTGAAAGCCCACAGTTGAAACACAATGTAGATGGAATACTGCAACCAAACTCCACCCATGGCTCCTTTTTCCACGGATTTCTGCTTTGGCTTAAGACTGGGAATGTCTAGTGACTTCGCTTGGTAAGACTTGGGTCTGTGAATACCCATTGGGTTTACTTTTAGATTTATAGGCACATTCTAATTCTTACAAATGGGGGAAGGCTTGCAACCTATGTTTCTTTAGGTCTGGCTTACTTTGCTTAATGTAATTTTTTTTCCAAGTCTTTCCATTTCCTTATGAATAGGGCAGTACCATTCTTTCTGATGGAAGCACAGAATTCCATTGTGTATGTACACCACATTTTCTTGATCCATTCATCCACTGAGGGGCATTTGGGTTGATTCTATATCTTAGCTGTGGTAAACAATGCTGCCGTGAACATGGTTGTGCTGGTAGCTTTAGTGTGTCCTCATTTGTGGTCATTTGGATAAATGCCTGGGAGTGGGATTTTCTTTTCTTTTCTCTTTCTGCTGGTCTTGGAGTTTGAATGCGGGCCCAGGTTTTGTCTCTGAGCTGCTTTTGCTCAAGAATGACACCCTGTCCCGAGGCACAGCTCCGCTCTTGGCTTTTTTGGTGGTTAACTGGAGATAAGAGTCTCCCAGACTGTCCTGCCTGGGCTGGCTCTGAACACTGATCCTCAGTTCTCAGCCTCATACGTAGCTAGGATTACAGGTATGAGCCACTGGCACCTGGCTTGCTGTTTATTTGTGTATCATTTGTGCAAAGGGGTTTCTCCATGGCATTTTTTGGCATTTTGTATGTGCACACTTTATCATTTAGTCAGATTAGCCTCTTCTGTTGCTCTAACCCTTGCCCATCGCCCAGCGGCTGGCAGGGAGTGTCCCTATGCACCTTCTTACACAGACATTATGGGCCGTGATGAACCTATTTGTTGTTAAAAAGGTACCAAATACTCCTATTTTCACTTCACATGACCAGGCCTGTCCAGTGGTTAAGGGACAGAGATCATGCAGCATGGAATTCTTCATGTGAGATGGGGGTAGGAGGTCGAGAACAGGTGAGGTAGCAGCAGTGACCCAGGGCTGACCCAGGACACAAAGACTGTCCAAGCGTTGGGTGGAGCCATGCCTGTGCCATGGGAGAGTGGTGAGTTCTGCCCTCCGCACCCCATAGAATCGCAGACCACCTTGGTGTCTGCAGGATTCCAGCTGCCTTCCCACCATCTTGACTCACTCTCGGTGCCAGGCCAGGACACAGAGACAGAACATGAGCCTGTCAGCCACAGAGCAGACCTCCACAGCGGAAGGATGGGAGGCCGATCCCGGTCCTAAGCAGGTTTTGGTCTCCTCCATCTAATGCCCGGAGAGTCACTGGGGCAAAGAGCCCCAGGGTAAATGCCCGTCGCTACCACCACACTTAACCCATGCCACACCACCCAGACCCACAGCAACAACAATACTGCTGGGACCAAACCCACGTCCCAGCTCCAGTTTCCTGGAGTTCTCATATTCTTCCTTTCACTGAATGCTTCTGCTTTTCACCAAGGCCTCAGGCATCCATGTTCCAAAGATCTTTCCAGTCCAGTTCTTCCTCCCTTAGGGAACGCTGGCAGGACCCCGGAAGTACTGGCTATTTCTCTCATGGCCTCACATCCCTAGCACCTCCCTCCAATGCTAGCCCTGCTCTGTCTTAAGTGCCCACACACCAGCCCTCTTACTGCCATGTCCTCTAAGTGCCCACACACCAGCCCCTGATTACTGAATGAATGTCTCCACATTAGCAATAGTGAAATCCTTCAGTAAAATGAGAGGACGCCATCTGTTTTCTTGTCTCTTGGTTCTGGTTCTGGTCGGGGCCCTTGCACCTTCCCCTGCAGCATGAACCAAGCCTGCCCTGTGGGAGGAAATGCCCCGGCCTGGAATGATTTGCACACAAGCTGGGTGTGTACCTTCAGCCACTCATGGCCCCAGAGGACCACCAACCACAGGACCGCCAGCTGGAATGTTCAAGAAAAGGAGGCTCCATAAGTGTTGACAGAAAGAATGCTTTATAAAGAAGAAAAGAATTTGGTAGGAACATTCCACTGATAAACACACACCCAGAAGCAGTGATCTCTGTTCCTGCAAGGACCTCTTGGTATTATTTACTGGCAACTATGAAAGCCCTGGGCCCTTGGACCTCGAGAGCCCTTGTTAACCTGGATGTGCAGAATGTTCAGACAACTGCACTGAATACGCCACAGCCCAGCTGCAACGGAAAGAAGAGTGTTCTTCAAGGCAGTTTCCACTTGCGAGCCACCCCTGTGCCACGTGTAGTGGCACAAGCCTCTAATGCCAGCACTTGGGAGGCCAAGGCAGGGGAATGACATGAGTTCAGGGGCAGCTGGGCTGCACAGAGACCCTGTCCCCACAGAAGGAAAAGCCACGCTTGGCTCCACAAGCAGGCATGTCTGTACTAGGCCACAAAACGAGTCTGACAAGTATTCTGATGACTGAATTTTACAAAGGCAGTGTATGAACTGTTTCAAATAAGCCATATAATGTAACTTACACTGACAAGATTGTCCAGTGAAGCTGGACGCCCTTGGCTGGAAGATAACAAAAGCTACACACCACAGGCAGCTACCCAAAGTAAAGCATTTCAAGTAAAAACAAAACAGCAGTGTAAAGGATACAGATACTTCTGGCTTTATCTTTTAATGGAAACTCAGAAGTCTATGGAAAATATACAGTAATATCCAGAATAGCTGGAGAGTCTTGCATATTTTATAAAAGACTTCTCAGAAGGGTGAGAGCTGGAGGACTATGGTATGAGGCCAACCCCTGTATCAAAGTCCAAGAGACTCCCTCTCTAGTTAGCCAGCATAAAGCTGAGTTGGGGGCTGGGAAGGTGGCTCAGTGGTAGAGCGCTTGCCTTGCATGCATGAGGCCCTGGGTTCGATTCCTCAGCACCATATAAGCAAAAAGAAAAAAAGCCGGAAGTGGTGCTGTGACTCAAGTGGTAGAGCACTAGCCTTGAGCTGAAGAGCTGAGGGATAGCGCCCAGGCCCAGAGCTCAGCTCCTACGACCGGACCCCAAAAAATAAAAAAAAATAAAAAAAATAAAGCTGAGTTGGGGGTGTGGCTCAAGTGGTAGGGCATAGCCAAGCAAGCAAGATGAGCAAGATGAACCCTAAGATCAAACCCAGTATGTGATAGATATGAATTTAAAGAAGGCTGAGAAAACTTGTGTGGATTTGATTTCCACTTCTCTACGAAAGGGAGTAGATACAAAACTCCATTTATATGTGCTCACCCTGAAGACAGAGACAAACCTTGTTGAGATTGGTTACGTGAGGAAGGAGCAACTGTAAGAACTAGACTACTTTTCTGTAAGAATTGTTAAGTTCTTTGGAGTTTCAATTGATATGTAAAATTGCTCATATTTACCCTTTATGTTTGTATAAGTTTGGAATATCTATCAGCTTCTTTGAACATGTCTTGTTTTGCAGATTTGAATTTGTTTTACTTTGTCTGGCTTTCTATTGAAACTAAGTCTTTAAACACTCCTGTACACCAAAGACAGCAGAGAGGTGGTGCACGTCCAGGCCTAAAGAGGGAGCCTTCACAACCTGAAATGTAACATAGCAAGAAAATGGCCAGAGATGATTGAGATTGAAACTCGAGCATTGATATGTAAGATGACTTGCACTTTGCCATAGGTTATACTAGTAGTCGAAGGTTCATTTCCCTTCACAGAAATAGGCCAGCTGATAAGTGAACAAACAGGGATGAACTCGAGTGACAACATTTTGCAATCCTTAATGAACTCATAGATCTGACATCGATCACCAGCAGTACACTGGGCCTCCTGGGTGCAGCTATAGCACATACAGCCTCGGGTCCTCAATAAATGCACAGTGAAACAATCTGAAAATGGAATGAGAAACTATGGCACAGGTGTGCCATGACCTGTGAGACTGTGCCGGAAAAGTAAAGGGAGAGCTGGGCTTGCAGTATGCCACTATGTATATAAAAAGGTGTACTTTCTTATATAATCATAAACTATCTAAAAAGATAAGCAGGAAAGAAAATGCTTGCTCCCGTTGTTTTCCAGGTGGCCAATACACTGTACACAAAGGGATTTTTACAACAGAACCTCTGGATCTTGGAATTTTAAAACAAGTGCCACTATTATTCCCCTATACACAAATCAATCAAATAAAATCATGAATGATCATACCTAACAAAATGAATTGTCCGATCCTAATATAGTGTCAACAGAGAGTACTTAAGTATTTATGAGAAAAACATCATGCATGCACACTTGGAAATATTTAAGCAAAAAGAGAAGAGAAGCAAATTCAAAATAATTGTTCATACAATTTTGAATACATGACCAAGTACCATTTTATCTACTTTTCATGAGAAAATATGAAGCACAAAAGGAATGCAAGAAAAATAAAGTACTATCATATTCTGGTGATTATCTAGAATTCATATTCCTGATGCATACTGGCCACTGTTAGTCATTTACTAACATGGACAGAACCCCAGAGCAGAACCAACCAAGGGTATCATGGACATTATCAGAAGGAAGAGAGTGAGTGGATGTGGGAAGAGAAGGGAGAAACATCAGGTGGCCCATAACTAAGGGCTCTGTTCACCAGCAACTCAACCCAGCCTTACAGTTCACTTCCAGGAATGAGAACCACAGCTGGATGACCAATGGATGTGAACTTTACAAGCCCATCTCCTTTAGCAATAACCCAGGTGCTGGTCACTTACTTTCTGCTTGCCTCGCAGACGTCTGAAATATTGGAGAAGAGATGGTGTCTCTCAGTTTTGGTCATGGTGTCACTCAGCTCTTTAGAATTCTTAAACATTCGTATCAAGATTTCCAGGCTGAGAAGGTAAGAATGTTCAGAGGAGATGACTTCAAAGATTGCCTGGCAAGAAGGAAGGGAACATAAATGTCTTATTATTCAATTGAAGGACTAAGTAGTGTGCTTTCTGGGCTGCAAGAATAGCATATTATCTTAAGAAGCACAAAAAAGGCATTCAGAAAAATATATTTCCAAAATACTGTCTTTATAGAAAAGATATATTCTAAACCTTGAGAAACTGTCAGTCTATTGTATAGATGCTTTTAAAGAGGAGAGAAAAAGAGTATGGCCAGCTCTGTATTCTGAGGTCTGGCCTTTACCGAGTAGAGTTGTGGCAGGAAGTCAGGCATGTCATAAAATCTCAGGGTTAACCTCCAGGTCACCACTCAGCCCTGCCACCAAAGCACACTGCCGTGGGGTCTGTCAGGGCCAAGAGTGTCACACATCTATCCCCTTGCTCTTTCTTGCCTTGTGTGTGTTCAGGAGTGTCACACAGCTGCCCCCTTGCTCTTTCTTGCCTTGTGTGTGTTCAGCAGTGTCACACAGCTGTCCCCTTGCTCCCGCCTTGTGTGTGTTCAGCAGTGTCACACATCTGTCCCCTTGCTCTTTCTTGCCTTGTGTGTGTTCAGCAGTGTCACACAGCTGTCCCCTTGCTCTTTCTTGCCTTGTGTGTGTTCAGCAGTGTCACACATCTGTCCCCTTGCTCTTTCTTGCCTTGTGTGTGTTCAGCAGTGTCACACAGCTGTCCCCTTGCTCTTTCTTGCCTTGTGTGTGTTCAGCAGTGTCACACAGCTGTGCCCTTGCTCCCGCCTTGTGTGTGTTCAGCAGTGTCACACATCTGTCCCCTTGCTCTTTCTTGCCTTGTGTGTGTTCAGCAGTGTCACACAGCTGTCCCCTTGCTCCAGCCTTGTGCGTGTGCTTTCTCTCTTTGTATTTTAACCCGGCTGGCCTGCAGTCAGGAACAGCAAACACTCTGGTACAACTGGACCTGCTCACAAAGGCTCTCCCCAGCCACAGGAATTCTTTTCTCCACACTCAGGCTATGAAATCACTCCGTTCAGTCAGGCAGCCTCCCTGCCCTCAGCGTCTCAAGAAGGAGCAAGGCCCCTCTGCGGGTGCCTTTAGTGTCAGGCCCACAGTGGTTTCACTGATAAGGGGACTGGTGAAATGCCAGCTCTGTCTGTGGACAGACAGATACCAACGCCCTGCATGAGGAATGCATCTAACTTCTTAACTACATCTAATTTGGATTCCCCAAGAACAGCAGCGCAGGGAGCACTCTCCTGGCTGGTGGGTAGCACCCTTGCAGGCCTGAGACTCGGGGTCATCTTCGGATCCCTCACTGACCACCACCCCACTGACCTCTAGGGCTCCTGCCTGTGAACCCTGACCCCTAAAGCAGGGAGGAGGCTGGAGGCACAGATCAGGGGAGGCCTACCTCCCTATGGGTGGGCTGTCTCTTGGGCCTCAGGGCAGCAATGCTAACCTCAGCACTCAGCTCCCCTCTTTCTTTGTGAGCTATTAGAAACCTGGGTCATACAGGTGCTGGTCTAGCCCTCAGCTGTGCCGCAGGTGCCCTAACTGTCTGAAGAGTAAATACCGAGACCTTAGTCTCACTCTGTCAGCACCATTCACCCAAGAAATACTAGGTGACTAAAGTCCTTCCTTCCTGACCAAAAATCATGGATGTCAGGCAGTTCGTGGATACAAAGGCCTTCAAATATTTCCAGCAGCAAAAGCTTTTATCTTTTATAATCAAAGCCAAGATACAAAGACTGACACCTCCTTCTCTACTAAAAAGACTGGATGAATTACACAGAATAGTCCCCACGCAAAAGTGAATAAATGGTCATTCCAATAGAGCAAGTTTAATGTGATAATTGCTAAAATATCCTGTAATAGAGACATTAAAAGCAAATCAGGTTGGAACTCCTCAAAGAGCTAGGCAGGAATAGACAGGACTGATGAAGTCAGATTGGAGGTTATTATTTTTTGTATGGTAAATCTGAACATTTTTAGGATATAACAGAAATTGATAATTCCAAACTGATATGACTTAAAAGAACAGTAGTGTTTGAATGGCCTTAGGACCTTGGAGAAGTTCTTCAATTTGTCCACAAAGAGAGAGAAATGTGTATGCCACAATGTCAACAAAAAGGAAGAAGTTACTATCCACCATCCACCACCCAGGAAATAGATACAGAACCTAAGAGGTGATGTTTACAGAATGGAAAACTACACAGTGGTTGGAACAAATGATTAGATGAACAAACACTGGCATGGGTAAATCTCAGAAGGAATGTTGGATAAAAAAAGCAGAGCATTATGCACAGAGCTGCATCACACGGGAGCTGTAAGTGGGGCCATACCTCTTGTCTTTTTCTTTCCTCCTGGCTCACTGTCTGCGACAACCCATTTCTTTTCACCTGGAAGAAAAAACAAAATCAAGTTGAACCCACTGACTTGTGACATTTTTACACAGGCCAAAGCTTACCTCTGCTTGTCGAGAAGGAATTAAGGACTAGAGGCATGGCTCAACAGTAGAACACCTGCCTAGCAAGCTGGAGAACCTTAGTTCAAATCCCCACAGTGCCAAAAAAAAGGAAAGAAATTATTCAAGATATTGAGATAGACACATATTAATTTTTGGTCCTCAAAGCTCTCAATTAACAATAAATCCTGTTAATAAATTGCCATCGTTAACAAAGAATAGACAAGTGTTTAGAACACAATCCTTTCAAGCCCGATTTTTGTGGTTACAGTCTTGGGCTACCTACAAAATACAAATCAAGTTAACCTCCCAAATCAAAATTGAAGGAATCTGATACTAAAGAAAGGGAAATGATGGCCCTGAGATTTTACAGTCCAGCATTACACAAATGTCACTTAACCCTATTTCCTACCAAGACACCAATGGAATGCCAGTGCTTCTGAGAGAAACCTGGTCCAACAAGAAAACAAACTCTCCCCCATTTCAACATGGGAAGCCTTGTGACACACTTAACTTCCTTTCACTGTGTTTAAGCTTGACCAATAAAGAGTTCAATCTGATATTGTTTGAAACAGTAACAGAACCTTCAAGACTGACAAACACCAGCACATACGAGGAACCAAATTCCACTACTCAGAACTGAGTCTTGAAATGCTCATCTCAGCTAATCACCATGCTTTCCTTCATTTGACTACTGCAGACCCCAGAATGTGGGGTGATCCAGGGACTCTAGGGACTGGCTCTGTTCCACTTCTGGCACATGCGACAGACATCTGTGTTTCCCAGCCAAGGATGAAATAAGCAAGCCACCGATAAGTAAGTACTCAGAAAGCCCGCATAGAGCCCAGTGTGCTCCTCCCAGTCAGCACTGAAACAATGGCTTTCAAACTTCTTTTACTTCCTAAACATTTTTTTAAAATAAAAACAATCCCAAGGCATTTATTTATTTATTTATCATCTGATGATAACACTAACAACGGGGCTCATCAAACAATATAGTTACTTAGAGGAGCCCTGCCCACCCCACAGAGACATGAGAGGGGAGAGAGAGGTCCCTCCCTGCAGGGACAGGGCCAGACCACCTGTACAGAAGTGGAGGGGCTGGAGGGCGGAGTCCTGAGACCACACCCAGTTCTGCAGGGCCTCCATGAAGCCCCAGCACCACACATGCCCATCTGAGGACCAGCGTGCATGAGTCTAGGGCACGGGTCTGGGCTTCTGCCCTGTTGTGGAAATTGAATACAATCACACAATTGTCTCTAGTTTGTTTTGGAAAACAAGTTAGAAAGCAATTGGTAGAAAGAGTCCTAAAGCAATCACGTACTGAGCATTTTTTGGACACCAGAAAATGTGTTAAATGTTCCATTTCATGCTCCTTTCCATTGCATCAAAATGCAGCCTTCTTTCCTTCCCTTTCCCCTCCCTCCTTCCATCCCTCTTTCCTTCCTTCCTTCCTTCCCCCAACTCTCTCCTTCTCTCCCTCTCCCTCCTTTTCTCTTGGCAGTACTGGAAAGGCTCTCGCTGGCTCGGCTGGGAAGGTACTGCTGAGCCACAGCTCCAGCCCTGGTTCTCACTGGTTCCTTTCAGGACAGGGCTCCACCACCTTTCCCACATGGGTGTGAGATCCCCCTACAGTGGGAGTACCACATTGCTGGGATGACAGGGGGACTAGTGTCCAGTTTCCATTCTTGTGGACTTCTCGCCCTGATGTGGCCTGCTACTTTGAGTCTCTGAATCTCAGCCTCCTGTGTGGCTTGGGAAGACAGTTGCACCATGTCCAGCTATGTATTAAGACAGATGTCCCAAAATCTCTTCTTCCCTCCCTGGACTGGCCTTGAACCACTGTCCTCCCCTTCTCAGTCTCCCAAGTGACTGGGATTACATCAACACCTGGCTTAGGCCATGCTTTTGTGTGTGTGGGGGTGGGGGGGCAGTGCTGTTCTGGGGCTTGAACTCATGGCCTGGGAGCTGTCCCTGAGCTTCTCTGATTAAAGCTAGTGCTCTACCACTTGAGACACAGCTCCACTTCCAGCTTTTTTAGTAGTTACTTAGAGGAAAGTCTTATGAATTTTCCTGCTTGGGCAGCTTCAAACTGTGATCCTCAGATCTCATCCTCCTAAGTAGTTAGGATCACTGGTGTGAGCCACCACTGCCCAGCTGGGCCATGCTTTTTATCCTACTACAGGAGTTAGGAACTCCTGGTTGGGCTTCCATCACTAGGCCCTTACTCCTGCTGGATCAGGGCCAATATGTTACACTTTTGGTGGGGGGGGTGGAGGGGATGGAGGAGGGTACATTTATATCATGGAATGTTCTTAGCCTTACCACCCTGCTGACCCCGAGCCAGCCTGTCAGCACTCACTCAGGGCACAAAGCCTTCTTTTTATCTGTGTTTCAATAAGGGAGGAGACTGGCCAGATGCACCAAAGCCTTCAGCGCTCCATCTGCTGAACCTCAGCGGGAATTTCAAAGGATTTCCTGCCTGGTGCACAGTCCTGTGCCAAGCCCAGCATTTCTGCAGGTGAGATCATGAGCAGGACTTCCTGCACCACTGGCTTCCCTGCCCATGGGGCACAGGTCTGGAAGGCTCCTGGGGAGAAGGATGGAATATCTGTGCCGAGAGACCTGCCAAGGTCACAGCTGGTCCCCCTGGGGTCAGGGGTCCCATCCTGGCACCATAGGTCCGACCTCAGCTAAGGGGCTGCTGCTCTGAAGGGAAGAGAGGTACTTTTGAGAAAGGTAAAATAGCTATGCCTAGAACTATCACTACCAGCACTAACTCAACAAAGGCTAAAAAAAATTCTACTAGCCTAACTCCTGTAGCCTATGCGCAATCATTGTAACAGGGAAAGAAGAGGCTCAGGGAACGTTGTTGAGTCCTGACTAAGGAATCTAAGCGGGAGCTGGAAGGTGGCAGCTGGAGTTAGGACAAGGCAGTCCCTCATGCCTGCCCCTCACCGCTGCCGTGTCCCCCAGCGGCCTGGACAGAACAGGTGCTGACTGCTTCCACCAGAGAGCTAGCGCCATCACCTCCTTCCACAACGTCTGGAGGTACAGGTGACAAGAGTCAGATGAGGGGAGGGACTGTGACCAGACCAAGGAGAAAAAGAGTCATCCGCTGGACACTCTCAGGAAGCAGTAGAGACAGAGAACAGAAACAAAGAATATAACAGAACTACCTCAAGCAGAGATGGACTGAGAGCGAGGGAGGAAGGAGAGACAGAGGAAGAAAGGGAGGAGAAAGGAAAAGACAGACAGTAGAGGGAGGAATGAAGAGGAGAGAGAGAGAAGCCAAGAAATGGGAATGAAACAGCACAACCTCAGGGGGAGAAAAAAGGGGGAAGAAAAAGAACATATACAATTATTTTCATACCAAATACCTCTTTTCCTTTGTTAAACAAGGACACTTTCTCATTCAAAATGGTGGCATTATCAGTAAACTTAATTCAAAGTCACTTGAAGACACAAGGTGAGTTTGGACACAAAGTGTCCAAAATGTTTTATCTGAACAGTTTCAAGACATATATGCTTTTGGCATCTTGCAAACATTTGCTCAGATGGTCTGAAGGACATCCAGTCCAGGTTATCACATGCCCTCCAGGTGTCATAGAGAGAAAACAAGCCAGCAGCCACTCAGACCTGGGGTCCAATGTGGAGGGAAGGAAAGGCTTCCCACAGGGAGACTCAACCGCCATTTCTTACACATTCATTTCAGACTCCAGCTGGGCTCAAATGAACTCAGACAGCCAAACAACCCAGCTTGAACTTTCTTATTCCTCATTGGATTAAATTTAATTTCAAATGTCATCAGTAAGTAGGATTGCGCTTGGGCATGGTGCTTAGCCTGTAAGCTCAGTTACTCAAGAGAAGGAAAACAGGAGGGACCAGATAGAAAGCTAATGAGACACCCAAATCATCCTCAATCAATAAACTGGATTCCGTGGTTTACATCTGTAACCTCAGGTACTCTAGAGGGGAAGACTGGAAGAATCATGATTGGCAGTAAGTCAGGGAAAAATATGTGAGACCCTATCTTAAAAAAAATAATAGAGTGAACGGAGCTGGGGCTCATTGGTGGACCATCTTGGGAAGCAAGAGGCCTTGAGTTCAAACCCTAGAACCCCCCGAATTAAAAGGCAGAACTGAAAATTTAGAATAATAAAGCACTGAAGCCCAGATTCAGTTTGGGGCTCTTGACTTTATACAATCTGACTAATTCATGAAACAGCAGACTCTAGACCAAATTGAATCCACATTAGTATCTAACACTTCAAGTAATAATTACTCCAAATAAAAGGATAGAATATGCAGGACTCCAGTTCTGACCTATTTAACATATGGAAGTGTTTATGTGGCTTGTTAAGATATGAACTTAAGGAGTACATGCAGCTGTTACAGAAGTTCTAAATTCACAACCATAAATTGTACAGTCACCACCACAGAATTACAGTGATCTATATATTCTACATCTGAAAGAGACAGAAATTAGCATCTAAACTTAATGAAGAATGCTTTCAGCTACATCTATACATCAGATAATGTGTAGTTATTTCCAAAAACGCAACTAATAAAACTTGTAAGACGATAAATGTCCTCATGCATAGTTCATCTAGAACACATGCTAGCTTCCTTCTCGGCACCTTGTTCTGTGGTCTGAATGCTGGTATTACCCCCATGCTCGGATGCTGAAACCCTAACCTCCAAGCTGGTGGGGAATGACTCCCATGAAGATAGATTCTTCCTCACTGAGATCAATGCCCTTATAAAACAGCCCCCTGGGAGACCATGCACAACAGTGGAGAACGTCCATCTATGAGGCAGAAAGCAATACCAAACACCAGGCTCTAGCTCTACCTTGATCTGAACCCCAGCTGTCTGTCCAGTTAGCATTGGGACTTCTGCAGCAGAAGCCTCCCCAGACCGCCCTGGGAGGGC